ATCCAAAAGGACAGGAGGATGGACTTTGTGTTTCAGTGATTTGATCATCAAAGGTAGGCCTAAGTCATTTTCAATGTGGGCCGCCGTGCCGACTTAATTCATTTTTAATTGTTACTTGGCTGTGGGTGCCCTGTCATGATAGGTGTTTATATAAATGGTGTTGTTTTGTGTGGTAGAGGGTCGCTGTCATTGATGCGTTTTGCACCCCGGGCCGCTGTTTTGATATTCCGCTGAAGTATACGCTCTGACCATAGACTGTATATATAACCGGGGGGTCAGAGGGTCTAGGTATAAAAGTCACGGCTCGCCACTGCCCTTGAGAGAACTTTGGGATTTTAGCCTTTGCTGACTATTTACATGCACAAAATCCTATAACACACTACAGGAAAGGGAAAACCCCAAAGAGCATAATATGGCCTCTGTAATGCCTCCACATGTATGTTCATTAAGTGAGGGAAAGATCAATGAGATAAATCATATTAAAAAGAGCGAAAACAACCTCTAATAGATTTAAGGTAGTAAAAAACTGTGAGGAAATTAAGCACTGCCAAGAAAAAAATGCCATCAAAATGTACTAAGGGTCACAGACAAGAACCTTGTCAAAACATAATGATTTAACACCTCCGTTTTAAACAGTTGTTGTACTTGGCCTCTTCCCACATTTTCATCCTACTAATCACAGTAAGCTTGTTTTGACAGTGAATCAAATTGACACATAATGAAGCCACTGTGTCAAACAGGAGATTTACTGGCTGCTTGTGAGCTGCTCTACACTTTGCAACGCGGAATGGAATAAATGTCTGAATATACAGATAGAAATGTTTCCAATTGAAATAAACATGTTTTTTTTTAAGGTTTTTCTACTATGTGTCAGTATTCTTGTATTCTTATCAGGTTGCTTTTCACAATTGAAATAGTCTTAATTTAAAAGCAGGTTTTTGACTTATTTTCATAAATAAGACATTGATGACAGTAACAAAATAAAGTTGTTTATTTGCTGCAGCAATTTGAGTAATGCATTGATTGTAATACTAGCTACAAATATATATATATTATTCAAAAGGAGCATATAAAAACAAGTTAGTATCGTATTAGTTCTTAATGAAATTGTTCAAACTTGATAATAAGGGGAGGGATTTAACGTGATTAAAGTTTAAAAAAATGTCTAAAAAATATTATTATATGCAGGCTGACAGATGTCAAATAAAACATTTATATCAGTTATTTTGACCTTTAAGTCATGTTTGACGGATTCTTTTCCCAGTTGTCCACCTTTTGTCAGCTAAGGCATAAATTCTGACGATGAGTACTTTTTTTTTCACTGGCCAACCGACCTTTGTGCAGCACGGCGTTGGCAGGCTTGTTCCCGGCCATGGACTCTTTGGACAGGTGCTGGTGGGACTCGGCCAGACACTCCACCTCAGCGAAGCGGGCGTTGAGGGCCATGGCGGAGTGGCTGGGGTCCTGGGTCATGTTCAGGTACGCTGCCCGCCTCAGCTGCTCCTCGATCACCAGAGCCTGCTCCAACAGCTTCACACAAAGAGGGAGGAAGTGTTTTCATTTCCATTCAGATATAACAAATCCTTTAATCCTTCAATTATTTCAGCCTTCAGTGGTTATTTTTAATTATAATGATTGCCTTAAAGCGGCGTGCGAGGAACTTGTTCTTCATCTCGAGGTAGTTGCCCTTATGAATCTCAGTTTTGAAGGGCTCGTTCAGAATAGCATAACGCGGGTCATTCTGGATGTCCTGCCAACGAGCGTAGCCGTGTCTGAGGTACAGTCAGGGTCAAGGGAAAGAAATACATGCACAGAAAAATAGAAATACTTAATAATAATAAAGATAATAATAATTGTATTAATATTGATAATAATACAAAATAAAAATAAATAACAATAGTAATAATAAATACATAATAAATACATAATAATAATAATACAAATAATAACAATATAAAAAATTCTAATACGAAAATGTATTAAAAAAAAATTATGGTAATGCTAATAATAATACAAATTAAAGAGCTAATATTAATCCTAATAATAATAATAATAACAACAAGAATAATACAAATTCTTATACGAAAATGTATAAGAAAATAATGATGATAGAAATAATAATAAAAATAATACAAATTGAAATACTAAAATAAATCATAAAAAATCCAATAATAATAATTAAAATAATAATAATAATTTTTACAAAACATGTCATACAAGCATACACAATAACACAACACATGAATAAAATACAAAAATAAGCTGCATTCAAAATAATTTGGGGAAAATACAAAAAAACTATAGAACAGAAAGCAGTGGGAACTGGTGGAGTTATGATGTGGGGGGGGGGAGTTTCAAAGGAAAGAGCAAGCTTGAAGAGGTGGGATTTGAAGGCTTGTTCCTAATAAAGACAAAGATGGTAGGGGGTAGACTGTCTGATTTGGTTGGGGACTTCAATAAAAAGATGTGGAAGGAGTAGTTTTATATAACTCCTCACACGTTATATCTATATATATATATTGACTGCAGCTTCCCTCAGGCCATAAGAAATAACATTTCTTTGCCAGATGCCTCGCTCCTCGCTCCTACATCTGGGAAAGGATACGTTACGATGCCGGCTAAGAGCCAGTAGTCATGGCGACGGTGCCAGATGTCATGCATCTTTCCTGAAGACAGCGCCGCTCGCTCCTCAGTCTGCCAGAGGGTGTGCAGCTCTGACGGCAAAAAGTAAAAAGACAAAGCGTTTTCACCACAATAAAAAGTCTCATTCAAGATGTTTCCGGTACATAAAGAGGAGTAATGTAACAACATAAAGAAGATTCACGACAAAACAAAGATGTTTCATTGTAGCACCTGAAGTAAACAACCTGAAGTGAGACACTGCAGCACAAAGTCATAAAAGACAGAGACAAGGTAACTACTTTAACACGACATGAAGACGTGAGGGAGTTTCACAAAACAATTATTAAAGTGTACAAGCAGTTTCAAATAAGAGATTTGTTTTCCTTTCAATCACTTAATTACTTTTTCTATTACAGTTCTATTCAATTCATGCTGAATGAGGGAGTGGCTTTGAGAGTCCAAGACTTCAAAACTGTTGTATTTAAATATTGCTTTCAGACTTGAGAAAAAAATAAACCCTAAAAAAAAAGTGCAATTGTTCTCTCTGAGTTTTCATTATACTTCGCTGTGTATTTATTTGACGGTATCCTCACAACAGCCTCGTCTCTTCTGTTTGCCCATTGTTTAAAACTTCAAAATATTACAAGCCAATATTATGGAAATGACTCATATCATATTTGACTCTATGTTGGTGTCTTTGTCTTTATTTTTAAATATATCCTACCTACGGTCACAATACAGACAGTAGTTTGAACCTTTTTATCTTATTGATCTTCCATTCTCTCCTATGAGGAAATTGTGTTATAGATTTTGACGATTTAGTACAGAGACAATAACATATATTTTCAACAGCTCGGTCTCATCCCCCCTGAGATAGACAGAATTTAGCTGCAAGTGAAGCCAATGAATGCAACTCAACTTATTCACGTTAAGATAATTGCATATACGTTTATAAGAGGTACAGGAGGAGGGGATTATATTATACTGCTCAGAAAATGTACTTTAAATCAATTTGCATTCTCTGTTAAAACTGCACTGAAATGGAACAAGCCACGTACAGTTATTTAGAACTCATTTGAAGACAGTTGGTTAGTCAGCACTAAAAAAATGAGTTGCACTTTACTGTCCTCTGTCGGTCTGTTCTGCTGTAACATGTAGCTTTCTTTTTGCTATGATATATATATGTTTATATCTTTGGTTTAATAAGCACACTCCCTGGATTGGGAGTGTCCTTTGTTTGCTTCCATAACATAGTGACATCACTATGTATCACTCGCACTTCTTTTGGCTAGCGCTCCAACACATTGTACATGATAGGCTAAGGGGAGGGACATCTCTAGGCGGTTGACTAATCACAACAGAGCTGGCCAGCTAACCAATCAGAGCAGACTGGGCTCTGGTTTCAGACAGAGGGTGAAAAGAGGTGCAGCAGCACAGGCAGTATGAGAAAAATAAAGAGCTTTTTGAACAACATATTATTTTTTAAATATAATTAATAATTTTAGGGTGGCTCTTAAACATTTCTCAAAGGAACTACGGCTGAATAATAGAATATTGGTTTATTAATGTGCATAAGTAAACTAATGAAAACTGTTCTTACCTGTAAAACCTCCATCAGCGATATTGAACATGAACTTGACTTTGTATCCATTTTTGTCCTCCTTCCTGCTGTCATCCATCTCGTCCAACGTGTCTTTATCTCCATTTAATCGACCCTCTAATGCATCTTCACTCTTCATATCGTCTGCCACAGCTACATAAAAGAGACAACCATCTCTTAAAAGAAAAATCTATGTAATGGGCAACCACTTAGGATTCATTTGTGTTACAAAAAGCACAATTATTGCACCTTATAAGGATTCATTGCAATTATACCTGGCTTACTTTCTTTGTCTTCAGTTTTTGCCGAAAGTGAATCAGTATCTCCTTTTTCTGAGGACTTTTCTGGTTCCTTGCTGGGCTCAACTGTGAATAAAAAAAGATCGAATTAAACAAAGTAGCAGAATAATAAATATAACAGTTAATCATTATGCAGCACTCACTTCTAGGCGAGGTTTGACTGGCTGGTAGCTCTGGCTGTTTGGAAGCAGACTCCTTGGAGTTGGCAGATGGCTCGGTCTTTGCAGAGGGCGACTCGGTTCTGTCCCTCTCATCTCCTGTTTTCTCCTCTGAGCTGGCCTTGCTCTCCTCGCTGTCAGCCGCCTTCTCAGGTGCAGACGCTGCCTCAGCACTGGAAGACTGCCGAGGGACAAACAGGAGGAGAAACAGTGGAAGTTGGTAGAGGGCAAAGTTCAAAGGTGTCTAAGTTTGACAGTATCTGAGGATGATGAGATGTGTGCAGTTAAATAGTGATGAGGAGATGGATAAGACATTAAAGAAGAACTGAATGACAGTGATGGATGGAGGGAGGAAAAAACGACTCACTTCCTGTTCTGAAACTTTCTTGCCATCTTGCTCTGTGGTGTCCTTGTCTTCAGCAGCACTCAAGAGAGACTCAGGCTTCTCTGCAGTCCAGAAAACAACAACTTTTTAGTAAAATGTCATCCTAAGTATGAACTTCACCTTATATTCTGATACAAACTACCCAGAGATTTGACCCTGACCTGGTGGGATGGGGGTGCCCGGCTGCGTGGCCACAGGGCTGGCAGGAACAGGCGTGTTGGGATCTGAAGACAAACTCTCCGTCAGTTTCTTCAGCTCCATGCCGATGGGAATCAGGTCCGGAGAACTCAGCTTCCCATTTACATGCTCAAACTCTTGCACCTGCAAAGAAGAGTTTGGATCGACTAGTAAATAAAGAAATCCTACTCTACATGGGATTGTAAAGAACAGTTCATGTGGCAAACTGAAACAGTCTTTCAGTTTCAATGTATCTGTGTTTGGTTGCACCAATTCTTCTAAGTCCAAACTAAGCCTAGTTTCATGTAAATGTTGTTTTTGTTTATTACCAATATTTACTTTAATGTAATAATGGGAGAGCTGGCCCCATGTGTTGGGGCTTGGTCCCGATCGATTGGGTTCAAATCCAGTCTGGGACCATTTGCTGCGTGTCTCCCTCTTTCAACACTATCACTTATATAAAGACACTGGTTTCCCCAAATAACAAAACAAAATATATTTAAAACATATATATTTATATATACATTTCTCAGTGACCATGGACAAAAGTGATTTATTAAAAACATCAGTCTTGTAAAAAAAACATCCACTTGGGGTGAAGAGATGCATTGAACCAGATATAGCTAACTATAAAGCAATCAACACCAATAATAGATCAAAATGACATCACATTTTGCCATTCAAATATTGTTTGTTAGGTAAGCGTTATTGTATATGTGTCCCTCATTCTTAAATAATTGTAGCTACAAGCTAACTATGGAACACATTTCTGTGTGTTTAGATACTTACAATAGACTGGTGGGTAAACTTAAAATATAAATTAGCCCGTTTAATCTGTAGCTACTTTAAAAAAATTAAGCTTCAACTTGGTGATGCTACAGTTATCTGCAAGCAACAAATCGGACTGCTTTTGATTGGACAGTGCTCCGAATTGAATTTACAATTTTCACAAGTCCCACAAGGTAAGTTATTTTTAAAGTTTAATGTATAGACCGAGTTTTACCTATTTAAAACTCGCTTAGTTCCTTCACATAAACAAAAAATGCTCAAGTGCACAAACTCCAGAAACTATTTGTTAGTCGTTTTGTTGCCCAGGTGTATAAGCTACATGGGAACCAAAGCTAACAAAACATCGATACCTGTGGTTTGTGATGTATAAAAGAAGGTTCCTAAAAAAAGAAGTTTCCCTCTTGCCTGCCTCTGCCTGAACCGCTTGACCTACTTCCTCTGATCTCACAGCGCTGCAGCAGAGCGCTTGGTATTCTGAGTTAAAGACGTCTCGGGGAGAAGAACCCGTACCTTCTTCCTGACGAGGGACATGACTCCGATCCTGGTGAGAACGTGCTGACGAGACAGTCCCTCGCGTGGGACTCCGTCAGCGAACGTCTCTGCTCCGTCTGCCCCCGGCTCACACAGATGTCTCATGAACAGAGACACATAGGCCCTGATGGGAAAGAAAACACTTTACACTACGAGATGTTTTGAGAGAGAGGTTACAGGCACGAACACCGACTTAAAAAGGTACTGGCAGGAGAAGCACTTGTATAAGAAGATTGTAATGAATAGTTAGTTTAATTAATGAAAGGCAGTTGAAGCAAAACAATTGCTGAACAGATACAACAGTAATCTGATTACATCTTTTATTAATGTAACCGTAAGGGAATACAGTTACATATTTGTTGTATTTTTACAACGTACTCCTGCTACATGTCAACCGTTACTCCCCAGGCCTGTGTGGTACTAGCACCCCCGTATAGTAGTTAAGTATAAATCCCGCTTTAGCAGCAATGGCAATGGCAGTAGTATAGTAGTGATAGCTTTTATAAACATATCTCAGGGATACTTGCTGTCTCAATATCTATTTATTAGGGCTGTCAGTCGATTAAAATATGTTTTATCTGTTCTAAATGTACCTTAGAGGAATATTTTTCTAGTTTTTAATACTCTTATCAACATATGAGTGGACAAATAATTGTTGGCTTTCTAAAGTGAGTAACCCTGAAATCGGAGAGAGACCGACCTTTGCAAACTTTATATGAGCGTTCTGTAGCTTTGCCCTGGGCTAACCAATTAAATTTGGGGAGTGAGTGAAATAGCCTAGAGCTACCTCTCTACTAGATGTCAGGTCGCCCTTGACTTAAAAAAGTTGCACTGTGTGAAAAGAGGTTATTAATGCCAACACCGCTTTGTGGATCACAGTTGAGCTGCATGAAGGCCTCACCTGAACTCACGCTCGCTCTTCCCTCTCAGGTCTCGAACCAGCCAATGGGAGTTGAAGGCGTCCTGAGGGGGCATGCCCCAACGCATGATGGCGTTCAGGAAGGCTTTCCTCTGCCGGGCGTTGAACCCCAGCACCTTGTGATGAGAAGAAACAGCTTTAGGCAGAGAATGGAGTAAGCAAAACAAAAGGTATACTAAAAAAGGGTATATAAAAAATGTTATAGCAGAGTAAAATGTTCTGATTGTTGTTGTGTAAAAGTGATATTGCATTGATCGTAATTCTGTCCCAATTGCCCTTTTTAACAGAGTGTTGGGCTCAGGATCAGCTGCAGGGCAGTGATGGCACTTTGTGACCTTGCTATGAAGCCCATCCCTTAATTTCCCATTATTAGGCACAATTTTACAGAATTTAGAGACACAGTCTTGCCTCACATTACATGATGCCAGTAAGGCTACTGCAAACAGGGTTAATACTACTCTATACATGTAAGATGCATAGGATCAGTGGTTGGTAGTAATATGTTATATTAACTCCATTACATTAAGTATTTGTTCAATACATTGTACTACTAAGAGTAGTTGTTTTGCATATTTAATTTAATTAAAAATGTAAAAGAAATGTACTTCTAATCTGTTATATGAAGCTTACTGATAAAGTTAGCCTCAAATATACTTAGACTCAGCTGAGCTCACACACACAAAGAAAAATGTCCGAGATGGAGAGAAAATGTTATTTATCATCCAAAGACACTCGACATCATGACCATCAAGAATATATTTAAATCTGGGAAAAAGTTATACATTTATGGAAATTCATCAGATCCTGAGAAGTCTTTCAGGAAAACTTTTTTTAAACCTTACCAACGGAGTACTTTTTTATATGAATTCTACTTGTGTCAATTTAGTAAAGTACATTTTACTTGAGTACAATTTATGTTTACTCCCCCCACCACTGGAGTACTTGCAGACTGTAATTCATACCTCAATACTGCCCCCAACCCGTGCCAGTAAGGGAGGCAGAGGTTTGTCCTTCTCATTCTTCATCTGCCGACGAGAGTGTCTGCGTCCTCCTACAGATAATAAAACCAACTGCACTGTTAGAAAGACCTCCAGTGTCTTACTAGTTCAGGAATACCTTGTGTGAAGAAGTGTTGTAGTGTGGTGTCCCACCTAAGAGCATAATAACTGTCTGAAGGTAATAAAGATTTTTTTTTTTCGTGCCGCCTACCTTCAGGCCTCTCCTCGAAATCTTCGTCCTCGTCCTCGGACCCCACGGAGTACTCCGACTGATTGTCTGAAAGATGATCCTTCCACTCTGAGCCACACATCAGATAGAAACAGTACATTGCATTCGCTTCTGTTGGTGGCCACCTGATGGCGCCATGGCACTGCAGATTACTACAGACCACTACAGCTTGGCAGGCGCATGTTGTCCCGCCTTCTGAAGTGAGGTGAGGGTTCACTACTCTGCCAGGCAATCACTTTAAACTCAGAGGGTACTCTTAGCTGTGATGGGCTTTGAAATATTCTCACTCACAGAGCTGTTGAACTGTGGCAATCAGGGCCTTGAAGCTACTCCTAAAAGTAAGACTACAGGATGTATGCCAATGCAATAGACTAGAAACTGTTTAACTATGAGAAAGAAGCGCTTCAAAAGCCCTTTGAGACGACTTTAGGCCCAGTATAACACACTCTTTGGCAGAATTAATGGAGGTCAACTGTCCTTGTTGAGACTTAAGAGGATTTAATAAACACTGAGATTAATTTGCTGTTCTTGCTTGTGAACTGATACACCCAAATTACTCTGTGTCAAGATAATGTCAGCTTGTTAGCCCACTAATGAAGCTAAGCATGTGTGGGCATGTGAGGAGTGCTGCTCTGTTATTGGATTAGCTGATTGGGATGTAAACTGGATGTAGAAGTTGATCACATGTTACAACAAGAGCTGTTGACCTGCACTGACGCCCGCACAGAGGTCGTTACACTGCTCTGTACTTCATTATCATACAGAAACATACTATCTTAGCATAGGGCTGAACAATAAATGACATGTTATTAAAATCGCACAACGTACTGGTCCAATATTTGGTAAAGGTAAGTATGTGGAAATACCTGAATTAAATGGGCCCTATTGTGCTAATTTTCAGCTTCATATTAGTATTTTGTGCCTCTACTGTGACCTGTCTCCATGCTTTAATGTTCAAAAAGGTCTTTATTTTACTCGTGCTGCCTGTGCTGCTGCACCTCTTTTCACCCTCTGTCTGAAACCAGAGCTCACTCTTCTCTGATTGGTTAGCTGGCCAGGTCTGTTGTCGTAGGTCAACCGCTTATAGATATCCCGCCCCTTAGCAAAATAGGATTTTAGCATTTGCAGACTGTTTACACGCAAAACTACCTATATAACATACTACAGGAAAGGGGAAACCCCCAAGAGCATAATAAGTCTTCTTTAAGATTGTGGTACTGCAGTTCAATCCTGCCTACAAACGTAATAAGAATCCTTAATTGTTAGAGAATCACACCACTATCATTTCAAAAATATTTTTCAATTATAATGTTTCAAAAATTATCGTTCCCTCTAATCTCACCAAGCATATTGCATATTGCATTATAAATCAGCATAATTGCAATAATTGTTTCAAACTTTTGCAGCCCTTTACCAGCAGTTTTCTTATAATGTGACCAAGAGTATCAAACCATATACCTAATTATAGTGTTATTTGTACCAAGCACATGTGCCTTCATTATGGCAATGTTATATTTTTCAATGACATTTTGAAAGCTTCCATACAAATGTTTACAAATAAACTTCTCTATCTGGCTCAGAATTTGGCTGTGTAAATCTTATGCTCAGCTTTGAGAAATGTCCTGCACAGAACAGATAAGGTGTCAATCTTTAAGCTGATCTGTTTAGCGGTGATTGGTCCCAGAATGCCATTCAAAACACAACATTTACTTTTGACTCATGGAGGCAGTACTTAAAGTTCAGTAAGATAATTTGGGGAATACAAGAAACTGATCCATAAAATAAACCCAAATCCGACCTTAATTGAAGGGTTTATTATATCGTTAGATTAGAATTAGAACATAATGGCTCTTCTTTCTTAGACATTTTATTTTTGGCTTGCCACCTGTCCATGAGCCAGCTCCAAAGCTGATTGGCTAACAATGATCTGGTTTCTTCTGAAATCTGAATCTCATGTGCTCTTGTGTCTACTAAATATTTTTCAAAATGGTGAAGAACGCCAAATTCTGGCACCAATGTGTAAAAATAAAAGTGGCACTAATGTAATAGATTGTTGATACCAAAACGCAGCCAGGAAATTGTTATATGTGCCAATATTAAATAACAAAACTTAAGAGATGATTTTGCTGAATATATTAGGAACAGCAAGAAAGCCATTTAGTGGTGATGGAGAAGCTCTGTGTGTCTGGGACAGTCTACCTTGGTCCTCCTGGGTGGTGTCGTTGTAGTTGACCTGCTTCCGGATGCGTTTGCCTTTCCCCAGGTTGCGGGCCAGGTCCTCCTGCTGCTGCTCGTAGTGGTGACGGAGGAGTTTCTCCCAGAAATCCGGATCCACGTTCTCCTCCTGCTTGATAATCTCCCGCTCCACCTCCTCCTGCACGATGGCACAAAGACAACATGCTGATGTTTTATACTACATAAATCACTGTTTGTTGCCAAGTAAATTACTTCTTCATGTCAAAATCATCAGACAAAGTATATTCTAACTTGTTTTAAACCAAATTCCAAAGTTAAAAACCAGCTGCTGACTCTTAAACGTAGAAGCTCAGGTGTTTGAATTGTCCTAACTTCAATTATTATATAAGCTACACCTTTATTCAACCCCATTCATCATGCTGAAGAACATTGCTATGTTCTCACCTCTCCTTCCTCTTCTTTCACCACATACTGAGCCACCTTGAAGGAGCTCAGGTACTCGTTCGTGTTCTGAATCTCTGTGTCTTCGGTGGCGTCCCGACTGCGGTCCAACAGGTTGGAGATGGCGTCATCATCGTAGTGAATCACATTTCCCTCTTCACAATCTTTGTTGTCACCTGTGGATCAGATGCTCTTAGTTAATGGACAAAATGAGCACACACATATACATTTTTTTTATCCATGTCTAAAGTGTTGACCTATTCAAACAGTGATTTCACCTTAAATGAACAATTATGAGTGACTTAACAATCCAAAATAAGATGGACTCCATGGTCATTTGTTACGTGGTACACTTTTTTCAAGTCCTTTAGTGCCTTTCCTGAGATCAGTATCATATCCAATTTTACTTTCTCAGTCATTTTCCAGAAATGCGGATCTGCAGAAGCAGTTTTTGGCAAAAATTAAGAACGCTTTTTCAAGAAAAGACTAGGGCTTCTCAACTAAATTTCATCCCATACAGAGCAAATGGAAATACCCTTACTGCTTTTAAAAGTAACAAAGAAAGCAGATACTTATTGAACCTCCAAGTGCTCATCAAAGTTACATTGATATTTAATGATGATTTACTGTAGCAATATAAAGCCCAAATGGAGGTGCGAAAAAAATGTCTGCTTTAAGTAATTTACTAAATTGGAACATGGTGCTTAGACAAACCCATGGCTCGTGCTGCTTCTATTTCATCTTTGAAAAGCTCCTCGGTGCCGAACTTGAGGATATCGTCCAGTTCCTGTTTGGACATGGATCCAGTTTTGGAGCCCAGGCCGGGCCTCACCACCAGGTGGGTCAGCATCATCTTCCTCTTCGCCACCTGAGTGATCCGCTCCTCCACCGAGCCGCGCGTCACAAAGCGATAGATCATCACCTTCCTGTTTTGGCCTATACGATGAGCCCTGCTGAAAGCCTGGGAGAGTGGAAAAGGACTTACAAGAGATGACATAGTGGTGAACAGCAAATAATATAAAACTATTAGCTGCTGGTTAAAAGCCACAACACAAGCATGTCTTTATTTGAAAGTATCTGAAAAATGAATACTTGGATGTCATTGTGAGGGTTCCAGTCCGAGTCGTAGATGATGACGGTGTCAGCACTCGCGAGGTTGATGCCAAGACCACCAGCTCTAGTTGAAAGCAGGAAGCAGAACTGCTGAGCGCCGGGGGCTGTGACAAGGAAGGAGAGGATTGTTTGTGTGTGACAGGGAGTGAAAGTATCCATAGATAGAGAGATTTCAGATGAACAAACTCACCATTGAAGCGGTCAATGGCCTCCTGCCTCAGGCCTCCTGTAACTCCTCCATCAATACGTTCATATTTATAACCCTCGAACTCCAGGAAGTCCTCAAGCAGATCCAACATCTTTGTCATCTGGGAAAAATCATAATACGGGTTGATTGACCTTTGAATAAAAATAAATGAAATAATCTGCACTCTCAAAATCATTAGATGTCTGAGTATGAGCTGGCATTGGCACTGGATTAGATCAAATATGGATGACCGGATTTTAATAGTTTCATGGCCTCAGTATAATGAAGGCTGTGGCTTCCAGCTCAGAAATAATATGTATTTGACTATTACTTGAGAGAAAATGAGAACTCTGTGTCCTTCGTCTTTGAGTTTCCTCAGCATTTTCTGAAGCAGCGTCACTTTTCCTGAGGACTTCACCAGTTGGTTGCCATCATACGAGCCGTTGGGTGATACAGGAGCTTCCTGCAAACATAAATCCAGGAATCAACTGGAGAAATAAATGCATACCTGTTAAATACAATTAGTTTAAGCCACAGGATTTCCGACCATGGGGTAACGAGCCAAAATTGCTGCGAACAGGTTGTTATCTTGTGTAAAATCTCAGCCTCGGGCTCTCTTTTCAAGGCATCAACATTCAATTTCTTCACTCAAAGATTTTGCGCTCGGCATTGAGATCAAATATTTAACTGTGTTTAAAAATGCAGCCGTACCACAGCAGCCACTGGGAACAGGTAGGGATGGTTGCAGCACTTCTTCAGGTCCATCATAATGTTGAGCAGCGACACTTGGTTCCCTCCAGTTTTCGAGTTCAAAGCCTCAAAATTTCGTGTCAAAATGAACTTGTAGTATTTCCTGCGGGTCAGAAATCAGAAAGAATCAGGACAAGAATTATAAAAAGATAGCCCACCACGTGTGGCAAAAAAAAGATTATTATGGAAATTACAAGCTAGTTTCATTTGATAGCATTTCATACTTTACAACATGCCAAGTGAAATGATATTATTTATAAAAATGCCATCAGAATGAATCTATTGATATGAACTCCAAATCACGCCCTCACTATCATACAGCACTTTGTATGAGAAATATGTAACTGCTTACAGCTAAAACCTAAACAGTGAAAGTAAATGTGTCTCTTATTTCTAAGTGTTAGGAACTTATAATATGCTGTGGGTCAGAGAGCGAAAATCTGAATGAATCAGGATAAGACTTCAAAGTATGGTAGTGCATGCAATATTCTAACTGTGAAGTGGAGATTCAAATCTAGAGTCAACTTAAAGTGAATGGCAGTTAGGACTTCACAACCTGCATAGTGAAATAAAGTAGTACAGACGGTACTTTAGCTATAGTATGGGTAATGTGTAACTTCCAACAGCATTTTTAATAGTTTTCAATTTCTTAAATGTTCCTTGAAAATGGTAACGTTTCAATGTGTCGAGAATGTTTCATTGTTTGAGGCCTTTACACCCTATTTTATCTAAGGTGTATAATTAAGAAATAGTTTATATTACAGTAAATGGACATTTTAAGAAAACGTATTTGCAAGACAGCAGCAAAACAGAGTATCAACTACGTCTTCTTCTTCTCCTCAGTGGCTTACTTCTGCATGGGGCTGAGCTCCACCCGGACGATCAGCTCTGTCTTTGAAGGCATGTTCTTGAAGACGTCCGCTTTCAGCCGTCTGAGCATGTGAGGGCCCAGTAGGTCGTGGAGCTTCTTGATCTGGTCCTCCTTAGAGATATCAGCAAACTCCTCCAGGAAGCCTTCCAGGTTACTGCACAGATCACACGAAGAGGAATGTAATGATCAAATTAAGCCATAGTGAAAAATAATTCACATTTAAATCAAACCTTACAATCAAGCAACACAAGGTCTGTCTATACATCTAAGTGGGGATATAATGGAAGCACCAGCATGCAAGATTACATTTGATTTCATTTCAGTAACTGACGCTTTTATCGAAAACTACTTGCATTAAACCAAGAGAATAAAAACTCAGAATAGCAAGAAAACTGTCAGTGCATAAGCTTCAAATAAGCCAAACCATGTGAAGTGCTGGAGCATTTGCTTTATATACTCCAAACCTTGCTAAAGTGCTTTTTTTGGGCGTTTTCTTTTTGTTCTGGGGCAACAGAGTTGGAATTGGAGAAAGTGGGGAATTTGAAAGATGTTGAAGGAGAGAGGGAGGACTCACTTGAAGCGTACAGGGGTGAGGAAGTTAAGCAGGTGGAACAGCTCCTCCAGGTTGTTCTGAAGAGGAGTCCCAGTGAGCAGCAGCTTGTAGTAGATCTTATACCCGTTGAGGATTCTGAAAAACTGCACCGGACATGAGATATGACACACAATTCTCAAATAAAAATGCAATGACGCATGTCAAACTTCACACAGTTTTACCTCATGACACATGTTCTGTCAGCCTTTTTATGTCATGGATAAGTTCATGCACAAACATTTCCTCCTCATATCTGTCTGTGCCCCTGCTGCTTTCCTCTTGTTCTGCGACCCTGATAATATTCTTGCTGTTTCCGAAACAGTGCCAGAAACGCTGTTTTACCTTTGATTGGTTGTTCTTCAGTCGGTGGGCCTCGTCCACCACCAGGCAGGCCCAGGTGATGGAGCCCAGGATGGCCTGATCGATGGTGATCAGCTCGTAAGAGGTCAGCAGCACGTGGAACTTGATGGGAGTGTCTTTCTGCGAGGGGACGGAGGAAGAGAAGAGCGGCAACAGAATGTAAGTTTGACACAGGTATGTATGTTTGGTATCAAATTAGAGCTGTACAATTTGGAAAGAATAACTTATTCTAATCATTTTGACTTATATTACAAATCCAATATAAGTCAGATATTGAGTGGATTGATCATTTTTGCATCATGTTTCTCATTATCTTTCAAATATATAGTTAAATATTTTTGGAAGATCTGTACCAAAACAAATACGTTTTGTTTTAATACAGTACAATTTCTAGGTGATGATACCTCTCTAGCTCTACAATAGTTAATTCAAAATGTTATTTAATTTTTGTTATATATAGCCTTTAACTGATGTTTTGTTTCCTGTGATTTGAATGTCACAATAGTCCATTTTGATTAATTGTGCAGCCCTAGATTAAATCCTGGATGAAAAATAATTGTTTGCGTTTTTTCTTAAAATGAATTATTGTATTTTTACTGAGTGAGAGTTTTGAATTACCTAGGGTCAGCTTTGCAACATTTTACATCATTTTTATTTATCCCAAAAAGGGTAAAAAATTAAATTAAGAACAAAGAATAAGAAACAGTTGATGTCAGCACATATCATTTTGCATCCCCACTCACACATGCATGTACAAACAAACACCCCCAGTCTCCATCTTAGGTCTGGAAAAACATAAGCAATTTACAGGTGTTTTTATTTTTTTGGAGAGAAAAGTGTTCTTGCATGTTCTTCCAGTAGGAAACAGCTGCGTGTTCACCTTCATGCGGAACACCTTGCGTCCGGACTTCACGGCGTTGTCCTCGAAGGTGAACTCGTTCTCCCTGATGATCGCCCGGCTGTCTTTGTCTCCGGTGTAGGTCAACACGTAGAAGTCCGGAGCCCACATCTCAAACTCCCTCTCCCAGTTGATGATGGTGGAGAGGGGCGCACTCACCAGGAAGGGCCCCTTCGAGTGACCCTGAGGGAGGGAGGGGGAAAAACAGGACACAAACTACTTTTGCAGCACAGTGGAAATATATCAGGGTATAAGCAGGAATCCTGAAGTCAAACTTAAAACCTTTTAAGACCTTTTTTAAGACCCTTTCCATACATTTTAAGACCTCAGCGCCACTTTGAGTTTTAACCGGTTACATTGGCGACACACTTTACCTCACA